TTTTGCCATCCAAGCAGCCAAGCGGGGTGTGTCCTCAACGGCAGTTAAGTCAGGCCGGCAGTCCCAAACGGCAGTTAAGTTGGCGTAAGAAGAAGGGTTTAATTGCTTTGATCCCCGAGTTCAAGGGCTTATATGCATCAATTACAGTCTAGGGGCTTAATAGCGATTCTGGGGTTGGTTCAGGGGCTTAACTTATGGTTTTGCCTTTATACTTTATAGATAAAAAGGGGGGAGAGTGTAATAATGGTTGTAGTCAAAAAGCTGAATGGAGAATTAAATTGTAGGAGAACATAGTACTCCTAGTCTGATGGTACTACAACACAACCGAAGCTATCACCCCAGCTTACCCATACACACATTGCATGAATATCATCAAAGGGTGTCCGCAAGGATGATGTGGAGATTCGTCCTTATATCTGACAGGAAACTAATCTTTGCAAGTATCTCCCTTCTCCCGTACAAAAGGAGATCTGGTCAGACGTGTTCATCTTTATTGGGATTTTGCAGATTTCCCACACAGAAAGGAGATCTGCAGGTTAGAAGAATCAATGTTTGGCATTGATACAAGATCAATGGTTAGGTGGAATTTTTTTTTTTTTTTTTTTTTGGTTTATCTTTTGATCAGAAAAAAAGGGATTTTGCAGGTTAGACTATAGGAATCAATATTTATCCTCTTTACCCTAGAAAGCCTTTAATATAAAGGCACATACCAAAGACGTGTTTTCTCTGGTAGTGCTAAGCACCATTCAACTGTGCATTTCCTTTTTTTAAGCCAAAAAATTTTTATTTCCTTGCCTTAACCCATTTACATCCTTAACAAACAACAAAGACTGCCTCTCCTTTTCTCAAACCATGTTACAGAATTTTAAACACCATAACTTCCCACTTAGAGCCTAGCGTCCATCATGCTCTCATTCAACTGCGCACTTGAGCACTAGAGCACTTCGGCACTTGGAAAAATGGTAAGTTTTATGTATATCGTGGTGCTTTAATCCCTGTGGCTTGTTCCTCCAAAAACACTAAACCCAACTTATGTAGCTAGTTAGGTTGCTGTTTTGTGTTTTGACCCTATTTTTCTTCTTTATCCTTTGATATTTGAGTAATTTTCTTTTGTTTCCCAGTGCATTGTTAGAGATACCTTTGTACAGCATGTAAGGTGTGCAAAGAGAAAAAAACTGAGCTTGGAATGGGAGGTGGTGCAAGGGCCCTACCCAACCCATCTACTTGTTCTTGCACATCTCCCATTCCAAGCTCAGTTTTTTTTCTCTCCGCACACCTTACATGCTGCACAAAAGTCTCTCTAACAGTGCATTGAGAAACAAAAGAAGTTTACTCAAATATCAAATGGGAAAAAAGAAAAGTAGGGTCAAAGCACAAAACAGCAACTTAACTGGCTACTGAAGGTGGGTTTAGTGTTTTTGAAGGTACATACCACATGGATTAAGGCACCATAATATACATAAAACTTACCATTCTTTCAAGTACCGAAGTGCTCAAGCGCTCAAGTGCACAGTTGAATGGTGCGAAACACTACTAGAGAAAACATGCTTTTGGTATGTGCCCTTATATTGAGGGCTTTCTAGGGTTAAGAGGGTAAATATTGATTCCTCTAGTCTAACCTGCAAAATCGCCCTTTTTCTGTTCAAAAGATAAACCAAAAAAAAGAGAAAAAAACAATTCTACCTAACCGTTGATCTCGTATTAATGCCAAACATTGATTCTTCTAACCAGCTGATCTCCTTTTTGTGTGGGGAATCTGCAAAATCCCAATAAACATGAGCACTTCTGACCAGATCTCCTTTTGTACAGGAGATATTTGCAAAGATTAGTTTCTTGTCAGAGGTAAGGACGAATTGCACCTCTCCACATCACTCCTTGAGACACCCTTTGATGATATTCATGCAATGTGTGCATAGCTAACTTGAGAGAGGTAACTTCTGTTAGCGTAGTAGTATTATCAGACTAGGAGTACTATGTTCTACTACAATGTAATCCTCCATTCAGCTTTTGACTATAACCCTGAAAAAATGCTACTAATGGTATATTGTTTTGCAACCCAAACAAAATTTTTATCTTTTTCTCTTTTCATCTATAAACCACATCCCAAATCCCTCCCCTGGGCGATTCACTTCTTCTTCTTCTTTTTTTTACTACTCCAACCCATTATTACTCTCTCTTCTCTCTTTTCATCTATAAACCAAATCCCAAGAGCCTCCTCTGGACAATTCTCTTATGTCTTTCTTTTTCTTTTTTCTACGCCAACCCATTATTACACTCTCTTCTCTCTTTTCACTAGAAACTAAATCCTCAACATTTCCCCCTACGTGGAACGCCGGTAAATTTTATTAATGGAGGTAATGCAATGGATATATATTCTATAGTCCTCGTTACCCTGTACACATAGTTAGTACATAAATTAGAGGATGAGTAAATCTTTAGTCACAAACAGCCCAGAAACAGCTTGAGATCAGTGAAAAATTTGTCCACACATAGGGCTGGTAATCATAAATGTTTATGTCTCTTAGAACTGTCTTTATTTAAAACATATATTTCTATTCTGCAAATTTTCTCCAGCTGGGAGTCTATTTTGAATTAGCAATTATTTCCGATTGAAAGCAAAACTTTATTTGGAACAAAGGGATTCCACCCCTTCCTTCTCATCACCATTATATTTATCATCTTGTTCCTTTATCATTTATGAGTACAAAGTTGAATGGAATATTTCGATAAGGTTGATAATCTTTTTTAACACTAAAATGGTGCGATAAAGCCTTTCATGCAAAAACCCATGGAAAATTATTTTAAATGCAGATACGGTAATTTCTTCTTTTTTATCTTTTTAACAACTGTCAAGAAAGAAAATCTCTGACCAAATCTTCTCTAGTGCAGGGAAAATTATCAATATGGACTAGTTGCTCTCAATTAGTGTAATTGGTAAAGTGCTGAATACTCTCTCTACTAAAATAATTATTTTTTTTAATTTTGAATTTGTTTTAAATTAATAATTATTTTTATTTTTTTAAACAAATGTTGTTTTCATTCATTTTTAATAAATTTATTTTTTAATAAAATAGAGATATAATAATTTATTAATAAAATTTTATATTTGTTCTTAATTAAGTACCGCTTAAACATAAAACTTTTTATTCAATAGATGATATAATAATTTATTAATAAAATTTTATATTTGTTCTTAATTAAGTACCACTTAAACATAAAACTTTTTATTCAATAGATGTTGTAATTATTTTTTAAAACAAAAGTAACACAAAAATAAATGCATTAAATGATATTTTAAAAATGAAAAGTAAATAACTAAATTTAAATACCTAAATAAGAAACAGATTTATTAAAGTTGAAGGAAGAGAATATTTTTTTCTTTTTAATCTTATTATTTTTATTAATTATCCAATTATAAAAAGTATATTTTTATCTTAACTTTTTATTAAGAGCAATATAAATAAGTATATAAATTATCCTTAAATTCTTAATTTTAAAAAGTAAAAAATAATTATTATTTTATAATAAAAGAAATATGTATTAATTAGATAGTTGGCTCTCAAATGGTGCAAGTGCTGTGCAGGAGAAATCTAAAAAATAATTTTGGTTTTCTTGTCAGCGTTGAATTGGGACGAATTGAAGAGGCTAAATTGGAGTTCCAAGGTGGTTGTTTTTTATTCCCTTCCAGCACTTACTCACCCTTTTCCATTTTGCTTTCCCTTCCAGTACTTAGGCCGCCTTTCCATTTTTGCTTAGATGATAGGAGACCTTCACTGTCTCACATCAACTACCAACATAAATTTTCTCTAATGTGCCAGTAGGGTAGTGCAGTAGTAGCAGTAGTAACTACTAGTAAAGAAGAGCAAGAGTATCTTTGCCTCCAGATAATTAATATTCTTAATCTTAGTGCATTGAAAATCTGCACGTTTTTTGTTCTTAGTAAAAGTTATTAGTTTATTTAATCTTTTTGATGAATTACAATAACAAGGTAATGGATTAAAAACTCACCAAATTGACAATCATGAGAAATTCATCGCACCTATTACCTTGTTATTGTACAATCGAGTTCTCTGACAAGAATCAAATTAGGTTGTGCAAGTTTTTTCCAGAAAAAAAGAGGGAATCATTTTCACGATTAGTGCGAAACGAAATCTAGAAGGGTGAGAAGGATTTCTTGAAGGAAAGAGGGAGAAAGCTTGCTATTTTTCATCTGCAACAATGGCACCATCTACTTGATCCGCTTTTTGGTTGGGTCAAGCCAACCCTTTGCTTGTTTCCATGTTGAACAATCTAATTATAAGAAATTCATCATCAAAAAAAAAAAAAAAAAAAAGAAGGAAAAGATAAGGAAATTTACAAGATCAAGAACCCAGGAAAAAGAAAATTAAAATCCCCATCCAATCTTTGTTTCGTCTTCCTCCTTCTCAATCTTTTCAAAGATGCTTGGGCACTTGTGCATCAAGCTGTAAGCACCCCAATTTGGGTTATCCATCAGAGTGAGAAACCCAGATCTTGCTAGCGAATAGTGATGAGCTTGAGCCTCCATCTACCAGCAGTGAGCTCGCCCCCAAATCTCACCATATTCTTGCCGGGATCAAGAATCTAGCAAAGGAGGAGAAGAGAGAATCGGTGAAAAAGAAGAGAGAGAGAGGTTAGGGTTTGGAATTTTGGGGAAGAGGAAGCTTTAATGGTAGTTTTGTAATTCAATTTTTTAATTGATTTTTTATATTATATTTTGGTAACAAATATAAAAAATGGTAGAAGATGCCATATAAGACTAAAATAGCAGCAAGTCAACATCCATGTCATCAAAAATACCTCCAACGTGTTTAAAGAATCCACCTCAGCATACAATTAGTGGGTTGATGACCTGTGTTAATATCAGCAATTAAATATTAGGCTATTTGGGTTATTAAATAATTTTATGATACCATTTGTTTTTTTTGGGTAAATTTGTTCTTACCTAAATAATAATAGGATGAATTTGAGAGTTTTATCTTTTTTTTTTTATGTAATTTACCATTAGATATATTAAAAAATAAAAAGGTAAAAAAATGTATTTTTAGTAATTGAACTTTCTGATTATATTTAAATAAAAGTTAATTAAAAA